AACCCACTGTCCAGGTGCCACCCGCTCTGCTGTGGCTGGGGGGTAGGACTGCCCCTCCACCTCCCCACTCACTGCCACCTCCCAGCTGTCATCCCTGTAAGCCTGACCTGTCTCCTGTCTCGCGCCAGGTCCGGGAAACACTAGCAGCAGAGACAGGCCTCAGCGTGCGTGTGGTCCAAGTCTGGTTTCAGAACCAAAGAGCAAAGGTGAGAAGCCACTACCCAGCCCCGATGCTCCTGGGCAGGCCTGGGAGGATGGGAGATGGACAGAAGATGGGGCCTGATGGAGAACTGGGACTGAATGGAGGTAGGGAGGGGACCTGATGCTGGGGACCAGGCTGAATGGAGGTGGGGCAGTGGGGAGGGAGTCTGGTGTAGCCTGACCTGTCTCCTTGCGCCTGGCAGATGAAGAAGCTGGCTCGGAGGCACCAGCAGCAGCAAGAACAACAGAACTCCCAGCGGCTGGGCCAAGGTGAGCTGGGCTGCGTGGTTGGGGCTCAGCTTCATGCAGGGACAGTGACACAGGGGCCAGTGACTCTGGAGCCCTCCCAAGGTCAGAGACCAGGAAACTTTCTGCCTGGCAGCGGCTGAGAACAGCAATGGATGGAGAGTGATGGGGCTGGGGACACAGGCAGCAAGGAGGGCAGAATGACAGACCAGAAGGGTGGTGGCATTTCTGCAGCGAAAGCAGCCACCATCTCCCGCTCACCTGGCTCTTTCTCAGTGTGCAGCCCGCTCTGTCTCCCAGTTCCCATAGATCCCTGCTAGGAAGGGGACTTTCACAGCCGAGGAAACTGAGGCCCACTGAAATTCAGGGTCTTGCCCAGGATCACAAAGCTAGTGAGGGGCAAAGGTGGACCTTGGCTCTGAGGATGAGGCACCAAGCCAGTGCTAGTCACAGGGCAATACTACCCTGCCGCCCAGCCTAGAGTTCATGGGAAATGGCCAGGAAGAGTTGGTCAGGGTGTAAGGAGTCCAGGGTAGGCTCCTGCTGGGTGGTGAGGGGCCAGCTCAAGGGGCAGTGGACTTTTCAAGAAAGTTATTACCATATCAGGATCTTGACCCAGGCCCCACAGGGACACTGAGCTATGACTGGAAGAGACAGGTAGCTCTAGAAACTGCCTGCTCCCAGTGAGCAGAGGGCCCTGAGCAGGACTTTGGACCAGGCCAACCTCCCAAGCTGGACTTGGGGCTCCTAGAGATAGGACCCCAGAACCTAGTTCTTCTCTCCTCTTCCTCTGTCCCCTCGTGGGGCTACCTCTAGTCTCCAAGCAGCCCTGCACGGTGCCTCTCCAGTGCTCCCAGCCCCCTACAAGAACAGCCCATGCCCCAGCTCATCACAGCCCCCACTGTCCCCTCTCACTGTCACACACATGCATCCTTGCAACCCTGCCTTTCTCACCCTGGCTGCATCAGCTTTGTCACCAATGGGGGGTGTGGTTTCATGTCTCTTGTTCCTCATGCTTCCTCTGAGTAGTTGCCTTTCCTACAGTGACCTTGACAGAGACCCCCCCAGGACCTTTCCCCTCAATTCCTCAGAAGAGATCCCCCTGAGCAACATCTACAGGGGCTGCCAGGTTGGGGCGGGCAGGGCTAGTTGATGAAGACATGTATTGTCCCCAGAGGTCCTGTCAAGCCGCATGGAGGGCATGATGGCTTCCTACACACCACTGGCCCCACCTCAGCAGCAGATCGTGGCCATGGAGCAGAGCCCCTATGGCAGCAGCGACCCCTTCCAACAGGGCCTCACACCACCCCAAATGCCAGGTGACCACATGAACCCCTATGGTAAGCCGCCCCACCCCCCTGCCCATCCCAGCACTGCCCCTGCCCCTGCCTCACCAGGTAGGCCTGGGGCCATGACAGCCACCTGTTGCCCCAGTTCCCCAGCAGAGCAGGCCAACACAGCCCCCTGCCTCCTCCTGACAAGAGCAGCCAGCCTCTCTCATCAGGCACTGGCCACCCTCTCCCTGGCCTCTGCTTCTCCCTGGCCTCTGGGCACAGAGCCTGCAGGGCTGACAGGGCCCCCAGAAACCCAGCTGGCACCCTGGTCCTGATGTCCTTTCTGCCCCCCAGGGAATGACTCCATCTTCCATGACATCGACAGTGATACCTCCCTTACCAGCCTCAGTGACTGCTTCCTCGGTTCCTCCGACGTGGGCTCCCTGCAGGCCCGTGTGGGGAACCCCATCGACCGGCTCTACTCCATGCAGAGTTCCTACTTCGCCTCCTGAGAGCCAGCTGGGCTGAACGGACGCTTGGGCACAGGCCTGGGTTGGGACTGCGGCCTTAGCAGCCACCCGACCACCCCCACCTGCTGCCCACACAGACTCTGCAGACAGCCATATGGTGCCCTCCCCTCGGCCAGCCGGACCTGGCTCAAGTGCCCATTGGGCACAGCCAGACAGGCAGATGGGCACAGCCTGGGCAGGGGCTGTGTCTTGCCCACAGAAACCTTGTCACCTCCAGGGACCCAGAGCTCTCGGACAGCCACTTGCCTCCCAACCCCTCGCCTCCATCAACTCCTTCTCCCTCCCCATCTCTTTTTTGGGAAGCTTAAATTCTCTCTATTTTTTTAAACGTCCTCTCTGTGTCCAGCCAAGCTCCATGGCCCCCATGCCAGGCCTAGGATGATGACATTGTGACACGGTGTCTGGTACCTGAGAAGTCTGAGTGCCCACCTACCCCTCCAGCAAACTCAGGAGTGGCTTCTGAGGACCAGGCTCAGCTCTCCTAACCTGAGCCTGGACCAGAAGTGGGAGGAGCTAGGCAGCTGTGACACGCCCACCCCTGCCCCCCACCATGCTCTGCCTAAAAGGGGAGTGTTGGCAAGAGGTGGAGTGACAGCAGAGCCCAGGCAGACTCCAAGGGATAAAGATGCACATGCAAAGGTACACACAGCTACAGGCACCTACGCACAAACACACGTGCTCACGCATGCATACACACACACTCGTGCACACACACACGCACACACACAGATGCTGAAAGGTAGAGGGTGCTCTGTGGTCTCCCCAGCCTTGTCAGGAAGCAGAAAGACCAACAGTGGCAGAGGTACCACCACTTAGAGCAATTGGAGAGGGAAGGAGGGGAGAGTCAGTGAGTTTGAAGCATGTCAACCCAGGTGTATCCTGGCCTCTGCCCAGCTGGGTGCTGGCTGGACAGGAAGGGCAGCCCCAGACCCACCCAACTCTTGGGGGCAGATATGGAGCCCCAGAACCAGATAGAATCAGGCCAAACACAGACGCTCCAGGTGCACTGGCTTGGCACGCCATCTGATGCTTGGCTCTTCCGATCCCCTCTGCCTCTCCTCATGGGCCTCCAGGGACAGGAGCTCACTGCTGCAATGAGTTCCTCTCAGCCACCCTTTCCTACTGGCTTACCTCTGCCTTTTCAGCCCTTAGTCCTCACTTCTCAAAGCCAGGCTGCAGCTCTCCAGCTCTTCCTCCTAAAACTGCACCCAGGCTGGGTGTGGGGCCACTATAAGCTGACTTTCCCAGTGATATTAGCCAGCCCACAGTGAGCAGGCCCTTCACCTCCCCTGCTTTAGGCACCCTGACTTTGTTAATGTGGCCAGAGATCTGTTGAAGGGTTTAGGCGACATGATCTTGGAAACTCACCCTGCCCTTCTGTAATAAACCCCTTGGGCCTCACACACTTAGCCACACCTCTGTGTGTAGGTGAGATGGGAAGGGATTTATTGTTTAGACCCTGTGAAGGAATCTGGGCTCCTTGTTTTTGGCCACATTTCCTTTACCTGGTTCAGTCAGCCTGTGGAGTTTCCCTGCACCCCAACTCTAACTGCTCTTTTACCCCTGTCACCCTGAAGCACTTCTGATAGAGTCAGCCCTGTGTGTCTTTCCTAGGCAAGGGGCTGTGGGAGCCTCTCTCTTTTGACACTGGCCCCTTACCTGTCCTCCTCGGATGGTAAGAACCCATGGCCCCCTGTCAGGTGCCCTGCTGGAAGCTGGACACGCTGTGTCACCCCAGCCCCCAGTCTCTCAACTCTCCCCTGTCAGAAGAGGAAGTGAGGTGGGCTGATGGGCTCAGGCCCCTGGTGATCACTGTGTCCTTGTCCAGGTGCTCACAACCCTGCCTTTAATGCTGAGCCCTAAGCTACCACCCCGAGGCTGCCTGGCCTAAACTTTGAGCAGATGAGGACAACTGTCTCTCCATCCTGGGCCCCGCTGCCTGGTGTGATCTGGAATCCACCTGCTGTGGAGTTCTGCCTCTCTGTCCCTGGGAGGGCTCAGTCCCTGCAGAGCATCCTGTGTCTCTCTCACACCTGCCCAACATGTCACCACACACAGTCGTCACAGGGGAAGATATGGCTTAGCAACTCCCTTGGGCCCCAGCAGGCAACCTGGCCCTGTGCTCTTGTACAAAGAGAACTTTCCCAGGACCTTAGTTGGTATCCTCAGTCCTTTGGGCCAGCCCTGTCCTCAGGCACCATGTCAGTTTCCTAGGATCCTCCTTTCTTCTTAGTCACATGCACAGCTGAGTTGTGCCAGGAGTAGACACCCAGTCCCCAGGAGACCTGGCTGCCTCCCTCTGTCCTTTAAGTTGGAAGAAACTGGGTCACCTGGTTCATCCCTGGTGTTATAGCTGAGCTAGGAGAGGGAAAGGCACCTGCCCGGGTGCCCACAGCAAGCTAGTGACAGAGCAGGAGCAGAGAAGTGAACACCACACCTACCCACATCCTCAGCTTGTGAACAGATCAGGATGGTTGACTTGTTCTCAATAAGCCAGTCAACCCCAAAGGTCACCTCACTCTGGGGCCTCCAAGCCCCAAGTCCAGTCCTGGCCTCTGCTGTCTCCACTCTGGTGTCCCCAGCTAGGAGCTCGTGGTAAGAGAAGAGACCAAGAGCTCCTCATGCCAGATGCCCATCAGCGGAGCTCGAATGACTCCTTCGCTGCTGCTCGCTCCCGGGCACTGAAGCCCATGCCCAGCCCCGGACCTGGTGGGAACAGGCTGAATAAGACAGGGCTATTCCCCCAGGGCTTCTCTTGGAAGGAGAGACCAATGCACCCCAGCCCTGCCCAGATGGTAGAGACGTTGCTCAGGCCTGTGGAGCTGTAGTGGGCTGGGGAAGGGGTTCCCCGCTTCATGAAGGACATACAGGTGCCTGGGAAGGGATGTGCAGTTGCCCCACCTGCCCCTGCCCTGATGGGCCCAGCCCTATGGGGGCGAGACAAGGGGGAGGAACTCTGTGGCCTCTGGTAGAAAGTGAAAGGTGGGCCTGGGTTGGGAATTCCTTGGAGAAAAGCCAAGTTCCACCCCCTGCTGGGAAGTCATGGATGAGAAAGAGGAAGGAGCCTGCCCCTGGAGAAGGGAAAGAAGCTGAGTTTGACCCCAGCAAGCCTCCCAGATACACTGCTGTCCTGGGAGATTCGTGCTGAGGCCACACAGTCAGGGACCCTGCAGTTACAAGGGGCAGACCAGTGTTGCCAGCAAAGGGCTGGTGCAGTGGGCAGGCATCTCCCAGGCTTCCTGGAGGAGGTGGATGTAAAGAAACTGGGCACTCCACCCAGATGAGCAGGCCCAACAGGGTGGGGACCCCAGCCTGGGGCTTGGGGCAGCCTCTTCTCCTTTAGGGGGCCCCACGACCCCTAGCAATGAGGCTGCCCACCCACTGGTTGCCCCTTGATGCACACAGAAAGCCCAGGAGGAGGATTGGCCAATGCCTGCCTGGCTCTAGCCCTGAGCTCTGGGGACCCCAGGGTGAGGGGGAGCCTGCAGCCAGGGCTGGTGCTGCCCTGTGGGGAAGAGGCTCCACGCTCACGCACGCACGCGCACACACTCACACCTGATGCACGTGGAGGCTCACAGAACAGTCGCAGGCACACATGGCCTAGGAGCAGGAAGGACCCCCCAGTGCGTGGCCTTTGGTAGGCATCATTGCCAGTGGGCCTCTGTCCCCACTGAGGGGGTCCCAAGGGAGAGCAGTGCAGCCGGGCTGGGACCAGGCCATGGCAGGCCTTCCTGTTTTCCTTGTACAGACTCTACCCACCCGCCATCCCCACACACATTTTATTTAATAACTTGTCATTGTTAAATTATTTATTAGCGTTTACCACATCACCACCCCGCCTTCCACTCTCACCTTCCGCCTCTTCCCACAAAAGCAGAAAATGGAAACAAGAAAAGATGAGACGTCGGTATATTTGTAAATAAACAACCTATACACGCCTGTGTGGCTCTCCTTGTGGAGGCTGGGGGGGGTGGTTACTGAGACTAAGCTGTGACATTAGTAGATTTCTTGGTAACCATCAGCGGCAGCAGGTCAAGGTGGAGAAAAGCCTTGGGGTCCCTGGTCTTGTCGAACCCCATCCCATAATCCTTTTCTTCCATCCTGTCCTGTTCCAACCCAGAGCCATCTCCATACTTTGGGCCAGTGCATCTATCCCATCTCCATTTCACTCCATCCTGTTCTCCAGTGTGCACTCATTTCTTCATTCACCCAGCCAATGTTAGTGAAGGGCCCTTTAAATTTCTCCAGGCAGAGAGGGTGGTTCCTGCCCCAAGGGTATAGACAGTGTGGTATGATCTCAGTTGAGGTAGAACGAAGCCCTGTTCCAGAACTACTCAGCCTCATCTGGAGGGTGGAGCATCTGGAAGGCTTTCTGGAAGAAGCTATGTATTCAGCTGAGACTGAAGTCACCTGGCAGGATGGGGATGGGGAGCTGTGGGGTGTCTGGAAGCATTCCAGGGTGGTACAGAACCTCAGAGGCAGGCAGAATCTTGTGAACACCCTGACCCAAAAGGATTGCTAAGTTTGGGGAGTGGGACACAGCAATGAGAATGGAGGCATGGCAGACCAGCAGGGGCCTGATTAGCTCAGGGACACTGGATGGAGGCAGGGGGTTCAATTGGTTCACCAAAGTGAGAGGTGACAATGGCTTTGACTGGGGTGGTACCAGTGAGGGGCAAACAGGGACCATATCTCAGAGATATTGGTGGGGCAGTAACATCCGGGTCCTTGGTCACTGAGCTGAGGGCATAAGAGGAGAAGGTATGGGGGAGAGAAGAAAACCTTTGATCCATGAACTGAGGGTCTCTGGAACATCCAGGTGGCGATAACCAGGCTTGAGCCTCTGAAGGACCGGAGTACCTGGGTCTTCGGCAACCAGCCGATGGCTATTGAGGCCTAGGCTGGGCAGCTCATTCCAGGAAAGGCATGGGGAATGCAGAAGTCCCTGCTGAAACCTGAGTGATGGGAAGGCCCCAGCATTGACCATGACCATGGGCTCTAGGGGGATGTGGTGTGGGCTAAAGAATTTGGTTCTCCAGGAATGTTCCTTGAAGTCTCAAATATCTTTGAGTATCTCGAGGA